ATAAAACTCAGCTGATCATCTCACAGAAGATTTTCATTCTTGGACCACGTATTTCTGTCTTTGTTAAATAAATATTGCCATAACAAACATTATTTTCTTTTAATGTGTCATTTTATGATTATTATTATTATTATTTTCATTATAGGAGAGGGTCACTGGCTTGTTGCTAACAGAAAGCCAGAGCAGCAGAGAAACAGGAATGAGCTTAGAAGAATCAAGGAGGTCTGTAGAAATGAGTACATCAACACTCCTCATGAAGGCACGTTAGATGCAGACTTCTTGGTAAGAAATAGAAATATCCTGTCAGAGTGGCTGAGTGTCAAAATAAATCATGGTTAATGGTTTTATTTGTTCTTGTAGCTCCGGCTGCATTGTGTCGCTGAGCCATCGCAGCTCTGCTCCATCGACATCAGTGAACGGAAACTGAATTCTGTAGGAATTATTATTATTATTATTATTATTATTAGTCATGCTAGTGCCATTACTTCATCTCTGTATTACATTAAGCAGGTGAAAAAGGACATCATTATTACATGGCATAAATTCATCATTTTGCACACGCCACCCGTGTCACTGGGTTAAAAATGACTCCAAGCTTTTCCTTTAACATGCACAGGTCAATGCAGAAGACCTYAAGCTGTTTACAAATGTTGCCCACGTTGACGCTTCCATCAACTCCCTCACTTTAGGTGATTATTCTTCATGTCCAGCCTGCTTTTATGTCTGCCTCTTGTTTGGATCTGAAACACTTCATTCTCCTCTCCAGGATCCTTCTGCTGTTTCAAGTCTTTGAGAGAGCTCAGTCTGGCTTTGAATGGAATTTGCGACGTGACGTTTGATGCTGCTGAGTTCCCTCATCTAAAGGTAAAATGACATGAATGAAACCATAACTGTGCGCAGTGGCGGAGCCAGGGGGAGGCCAGGGCCACAGGGGCGGAGCCAGGGGGAGGCCACTGTGGGAAAAATCTTCGGCTATCCCAAACATTGTTTTTCCAGCTATGTTTTGATGGACATTTTCAGTTCAGCTCAACTGGACTGCTCAAGCAGGTAGTTCTCCACCTATTATATTTAGTAAACAAATACAGAAGTAGGGTAACCTGTACATGAAGACTCACTGACTCCCAGTGAACAGTGTCCCAGCCTTTAACGTGTCAGACCTGAGATAAAATATGTCATTTTCAGGGCCACCCCTATAAAAATGATCTGGCTCCGTCATTGACTGTGTGGAGAAACAGAATGAGCGCTCTTCTTCTTTTAGTCACGTGTTTCGACCCTTCCAGGTTTTAGATTTGTCCTTCAACCATGTATCAGCTCAGGGACTGGTTTCCCTCACTCGGCTTCCACGTCTCCAAACACTTCATCTGACTGGAAACCAGCTWCATCGTCTCCCTCCTACTTTTGGCTCCTCAGACTACGATCAAGCTCTGCTGTAAGTATTTTAACCTACACAAGTAAGAAATAATTTTTTTAATTATGCAAAAGGAAAACCCTCCAACCACAAATTAAAAAAATAAATAATTCCCTGTCCGCAGCTTTTTTTCTAGCTCACATGTTGACAAAATAAATGTAATTTTTACCCCACAACTGCACAAGCTTGAAAAAGAGTCTGTTTTTAAATGTAACAATTTCTAATTGTGTTTTGCAGCCCTAAACTTGTTTATGATTATTTCATCTTGTTATTGTTATTTCTATAGGTATAGTTTATTAAAACATAAGCACAACACTGCCAATAGAAAACAGGATTTAATAACATTAACCAAATAGATCCCAAACTCTAAAGCAGTTCACAAACTAACCAAAGGGTGGCGCACATGTGCTCCAAATAATCTATTTAAAGACTAAATATCCAACTAATGTATCATTTCCACTCCTTATCCCTAATCCTAGTGAAGTGAAGAAAATATCTCTGCAAAGTATTTTTACTAAAACTTGATAACGATATATGTGTTATATGATGCACTTGATGCTTATTATGAGYGTGTTTGTCAAAATCATATATATTTTTTTCCTTTTATCTATTTTTTTTCAGGCCAGGTGAAGAYGGAGCCAGACAGTTTGAGGCTCTCGAAGTCCTGATGCTCGACAACAACAAGCTGACCTTCGAAGTCTTCCACAGTCTGACGAACTTTACAAAGTATTTATGTTGTTGAAGATTTCCTGCACGTTAGTGAACACAGGCCCAAATCACAAAACGTGTCCACTCTCATCTCCAGACTCAAATATGTAAACCTGCAGGGGAACCGGATTTCTGCAATCCCACTTCTAAAAGTGGGGGACAGTTCAAAACTGGAGCAGCTTTCTGCTGAAGATGAAGGTAAATATTCAGGAGAGACTTGATGCAGTGTATATAGATTTCAAATATGTCAGGATTTGTTCAGTAGTCTAACTTTTGCTCCTTAATTCAGCCCAATTTCACTCAAATATGGATGAATATCTGAAGATAATGCAGACCAAACAGACAGAGGACAGTAAAGGATGCAGTCTGCCTCTACCTGAGCTCCAGCATCTCAATTTAGCTGAGAACAAGGTGTGCTACAATTTATATAAACAAACAACAGTGACTATTTAAAAAAAGATACATAAATCTAACATGTCTCATTTGGGTTTCATCATCAGTTTTCCACAGAAGAAGATCTGATTGGTGCAGCTCTGTTCCCAAAGCTCAGTGAAATGATTATTCACTCCAACCCTTTGATCACAAAGAAGAGAGGTAGTCTTATTGTTTTAAAAAAAGTTAATTAAGTGTGGATCAGACTTTAAAAAACACCTTTATGTGTTGGAAGGCTTGCCCATGCTGACTTATTACCTCCAGGAGAGACGAGGAATAGAGATAAAGAGAAACAAGGAGCAAAACATCAAGAATCGCCCACTGAAATGGAAGGTCAGGTGACAGAATTTTAAATAAACAAAATCTAACCTAACAAAATTCGATTCTTCTGTCCCATTTTTATCAATGATTTCATTTTTTTAATTCATATGTGTATTTCAGGTGGAAGAAAACTTTCGGACGATGTCGAAAAAGCCATGTCTGACAGATACGGTTTGTCCGAGAGGAACTCAAAATGTCAAATATGGAAAGACAATCCAAGAAACGACACAGTCTGAGGGCAGGAATTCTACCAATCTACATAACGATGCAAAACACTTCTTTATTACTCAGGTATCGAGTTTACCATTTAACCTGTGTTATTAAAGTGTACCTGTGTTTTACAGTGTAATGAGATTGGTGGTGATAAGAAAATAACATCATAAAATGCCTCTTTACATGTCTGATGCATTAAGACACCTAACCTGATCTCAAACAATGCCAGGTTGCCACATATTAGTTAAGTAAAACAAACTCCAYAGCATATGGCAGTAATAACAAACTCATGTATGCTATGATAAAAGATACAAGATATAGCAGCAAGGTAAAAGTGTATTTT